GCGCAATGGCCGAAAAATTAAGCAAAAAGAAAGCTGCAGCGCACAGGACAAGCAGCTGGGATTCGGAAGCCGGGAGTTGGAAGACGGGTGCGGGAAGCTGTCCAAAGGATGTGCTTAAGGGAGAGCAAGCCCGCGAGCGCTCGTAAAGAAATGATTTCGAAAAACAATATCCGCTTGGTTATTCTTTAGCTGCGGTTGGGAGCTGCGGCTGCCCTTTCGACTGGGACAGAGAATTGGCGCATTGCATATTTCTGCAATTTATTTGCGCTCGAATGAAAGCCCCCAGAGGAACACTGGCCAAGGAGATACAATATTAAAAGGCTTTCAATAAAAATCAATTTATGAACCATAATCGAAGGCCAGCCAAGTGCGGCCCAGTCCAACGAAGCATAGACGGAAATTGTGCGTTCATTAATTGAAATGCAGCATCCACCTGCCCCTTGATTACAGCTTAGGTGCGGTCTATTTAATCCACAGATTGCATTTATTGAGGGCTGCTCAAACACTGATTTGCATTTGGCATGGCATTCTGTTTAAATAATAGCCAACGGCTTGAAATCAATCGATTCATGAGCAGTACGACGGATTGACTCATAACTTATCAATAGGGCGACAAATCAACTTAATACGCACACAAATAAACGATTTATACATATGCAAAACTACTTGTGTGTATCTGTGTGCACAATCTTAACTATTCAAGCGCCTTATACGCAGCTTAAGGACCTATTCTGTATTTGCCTCGGGCCATTCACTTTTCTGTCGTCCCAACTAACTCACAATAAAAACTCGAAAAGTTGGCTTTTTTATTCAAATTTTGTCGGTTCTACTTGAGCTTAAGATTGCAAATAATCTCGAAAATCGTGCTGAAATCTAATAGTGTGCAAAACGGATACATAAATAAAATTAACTTGTTTACATATTTACAATAAAAATATATATATTTCGGATGCAAAAAAAAAAAAAAAAAAAGGAAGGAAAAGCCATCCACCCGCTCTGCGGATGTCGACAAAGCTTCAATTTTATCTAATCTCAGATGTTGAATGAAATGTTTCGAGCGAAATGCTAATTTTATGGATACTGTTTATAGGTCTTCATGTGAGACTGAAACAGAAACCGACAAGCTCAACTTTCTATAGACTTTCATTGAATTTTGGTAAGTCCCCACTCTAAGCTCCGCCTGCACACGGCGTCACCCACCGCATGAAAGTAAACGAGAAACAAAAAACAAAAAATTGAAACAGGGAAAGTTTAAAGGGATCCTCCCTCCAGCGATGAGAATATGGTTTTCTTTCCTTTTGACTCTCTCTTTCTCTCTCTCTCTCTCTCTCTCTCTCTTTCTCTCTCTTTTACTTTTGGGTTGTATGCTTTCATTTTTAAATTAAAACTCTTAGCAAGCGCACATAATATAAAACACATTCAACAAACACAAAATAAGGGCCCAGAAGAGGGTGAGAGGGAGAGAGGGGCGGCCGCTAAGGCCGACGTGTAAACGATGCGAAAACATAAACATAATGAAAAATATAAACTTAAGCAAACTTAAACATGGAATAGGTCGATAATGATTTCAAAGAGCGAGAGACGAGGCCAGAGCAATGGAGCCGACCAGCTGGCCAACTGGGCAACTGGTCAACTGGGCAACTGGGCAAGTTAGCAGCTTGGAAACTTGGCAACTGACAGCGCGAACACGTTCCTTTGATGCTATAGTGAAATACGTGAGTCTGCAGTTGAGATTGGACGAGTGGACGAGCGGACGGTCAGACGCATCAATTCACATCAACTTAACACGACGCGTCGGCTCATTGGATAAGTTAAGTTTATCTACAGCACGTGATGAAACGTCACTGACATGAGCCAGTGCTGCTGGCACGGCTCCACTGCACAGCAGTCGGTGTTGGCAGCCACTGCCCCACATCCAACACAGTTGCCCCAAAGCTTGTGTTACGCTTAAACAGCTATGATATGAATGAAAGAGCTCAATCATCTATACAAACAGCAGCTGTGATGCGCAGCAACGCACACACACACACACACGTCGTATAGCTGCAACACAATCGGATTGCATTTTTCACAACTCAACAAGTTTCGACTAAGTCACAAACTAGCAACACGCAAAACATTTACTTGCCGCCACTCAATAATGGCCCCAATGCAGGCCATTTATTCGCATTAGCATATCTAATTTCAGATATATATTATTTACATTTGTTGTGCCACATGATAATCAAATTTTCAAATAATTCTCAATCTGTGCTGTTGGCTTTTGACAGAATCTAATCAAGAAATAAAACGAAAATATGCAAAAATATATTTAGAGAGAGAGAGAGAGAGAGAGAGAGAGAGAGAGAGAGAGAGAGAGAGAGTTAGATTTATGTGAATAATAATTGGGCCACAAAATAAAGAGTTGACTGGGCAAATTATTTTGTGCCGCAGCTATGGCCATGATCACTTTTATTTTATGCCTAAAACACACACACACACTCATACATGTGCATAACTCAAATTGTTTTGGCCGGCATATGTTCGCGCGTATTAACACAGACACAAGAGCAATAAATTTGCCAAACACTCTAAACAGGATTTGCTAATATTTTGTTTCCATGCCGACCGCATCAAGTATGCCGAGAAGGACTATTTATGGCTAACTCACCGAGCCCAATATCGAACCGACGAACCACTCAAGCGTGTACCGAATATGCTTTACGTATTCCGTGCACGCTTCCATCTTCAAGTATGCGTGCTTATAGCAGGCACACCGACTACAGCAACAGCAACAACAACAACAACAACTAGAGTGTGGTGGCAGCAACAACAGCGAGTTGCTGCATACGTTTGTTCGGCTCTAACTGCCTATCAAACACTCTGCTCTCCACACTATGGCCAAGAGCCGAGTCCTGTTTGCTCTAGAGAATTGCTCGCAGGCCAACTTTTCCCTTGGCCTCTTAGCCATAAGTGTCTGACTGTGTGAGTGTATGCATGTGTGTATGTGTGCTTATGCTTAAATGTGTTGGTGTTTTCCTTTAGGTTGACCGCTCATTTATCACCGCAAAGTCAACCAGAGTTTGACCTTCATCAATTTTATTCGTGCATGAATTGCGGGCCTGTCTATGCGCATCTTTTTCGAAATGAGCCCGCGCCTGACTCTTCGCCCACGCCCTCGGCCGATATGCACTAGGCGAGTTTCTAGCCGAATGAGTATATAGTATGAAAGTATAATGAAATATGATTATGTTGCATATGGGTCAAACTATTCAGATTTATTTGGCCTGCTCCACTTCCTGTTTCGGTTTCTGTTTATTTTCGATTCTTGCTCAATTTATTCGCCTAGATCCCTACCTCCAAGGAGTATATGAAATATATATAACACTATATTTCTAAATTGACTTAGCTGCGGCACAAATTGAAGCTTAGCTTTCGGGATGTTGTGTTTTATGGCTCTTATTGGAGTCGGCTAAGTAGTGGGCGGACTTATTATGCACTCCGCAGAAAGTAAAAATTTTACGGCAAAACGCTAACAAAAATACTATAAAACCACCTCTGAGCAAACATTTGCCACACATTAACTACCATACTATCTGACGCTGTAAGGAAGAATATAAGAGTACTTAAAAGCCCTGCCCGACTAAAACTATAGCCTTTTAAGCGAACAGAAGTAAGCGGCTCTCGTAAAAGTGGCCTAAAGTCTACATTGGCTCCACGTAAGCCTAATGGCTAACACAAATGTGTCCAAGGAACAGGAACAGAAGAAAAATTGCTAAAAGTATTTTATAAGCTCATCAAAAGTAAGAATTTGCATTCGAGAATGATTTGAAAATGGATTCTGAGAGCGAATATCAACTGAGAAGTCGAGAGCAGCTGTCAACAGCTGCAATCTCCGTGGCTGAGGTTAGTTGAGCTGCAAATAATATTTTTTTGTGGCCTGTAAACAAGCGGTCGTAATTTAATTTAATTTTGCAGCTTATGAAATATGGAGAGCCGAGCGAACAACTCTCTCATAATAACATTTAATATTTAGATGCCGCCAAGTACAATGTAAACAATTGCTTGAAAGTAAATTTTATGCGGAGCGGCAGCCGTAAAGCAAACAAACCAGCTGTAACAACAAAATGATTTTTACAATCAAGAACAAAACAACACATTTAATTTTGCTGCAGAGCCACATCCTCATCCTTCAACCTTCCTCAACCTTCCACCTCCACCTCCTCACTCACGATGCTCACTGCTGCTAGTTGCTGTTGCCTCTGCAACCTCAGTTCACTGGGAAGTCGCATTGACCGTCGAATTGTAATCAAATGATAAATGTTTAGCAAAAAGGCGACCAGTAAAGTTCTGGTCTATACCCCGTACAAGTCTCGGCACTTGAGCGCCCGAGTTGTTGCACAAACGACAATAAAAAAGAGGAGAGAAAGAAAAGAAGAAGCAAGAAAATGGTGAAACCATCTCAACTGCCCACAGGACGATTATCACAGGTTGCCGCGGACAACGACAAGGACACGGAACAGGACAAGGGACAAGGGAGAGACAAGCGCTGAAACCACAAGACAATTGTTCTTAAGGATGGCAACAATGAAGGCAGCACTGGAGCAACTCCGTCGAACGGACCTGTCTGCGATGCTTTTTGCGCGTACTCCTGCCCGTGGACAGGCGGAACGCTGAGACGCAGGACAATGATTTGCATTTTCTGCTATTTCGGTTTCTGTCTCAGTTTATTCGTTTTTATGACACTAGAAACGCAGCAAAGGGAAGCCAGCTACACTTAAATTAGAGCAGTCGCCGTCGGGCCACAACAGCTATGCAAAATTGCCGCCTGACGCACAAAAAAAAAAAAAAAAAAAAAAAAAATGGTGAGGGATGAAAAAAAGAAAGAAAAAAATTAAAATAAGCGCGCCAAGACAAATTCCAAGTATTTCCAGCTGGCGTCCAGGACACAAGAACACACAGGCAAACTTTTGGCCGGATACAGCGGCTAAATAAAATATGAACTAGGGCCAAAGCCAAAGTTTGCGAGATGCCTTTTATTGCCCCGCTCGGGGATTAGAGTGCGCCGTAGCCACTAGCCGCTCGGCCTGGCCCCTGCTGCATGGTCGCTTCATATTTTTGCGAATGTTATTTGTTCGAAATTGCTCTCAAGTTGCTAAGTTTGCTCTCCTGTTGCTGTTGTTCTGCGTGATGCTGATGCTGATGCAGACGGCGAGGCTGAAGCTGGAGCTGATGCTGATGCTGCCTGCGAACACTTCCTGCGATGCTCTGACTGTCAACGCTTCATGTCGAGCAATGGGAACTGTTCCCGCCGTGGGCGGATTTCTTTCATTCAACGCCCTCTGCTCTAAACGCTTCGGCATTTGAGTTTGTTGAAAGCGATTGTTCTTTGCATTGTTTGCTGCTGCCAGCGCATACGTCTATAATCGAATTAGAAGATAAACCGATTGTTTATTAAGTAAATATATGCACGTAAATATATATTTAGTTAAATATTTGTAATACCTATCATCTAAAAAAAAAAAAAAGGCTGATGAATACATGTATGTACTTCACTTAGTAAAATAGAGATGAAAAAGAAAATGATAGAGCTATAGAGCACTTGAGTAGAATAAGGTACAGTCCGACATATATTGTCATGAGAATCGCAGGGAAAGGAATTATCAAATAATAAATTTATGAGATAAGCTATCCATTTTCATAAGTCTTGTTACATACAAACTATAGTCGTTCATTAATTTCCATTCATCAACTTAATCGGCAAATCATGTCTCCAATAATCTTATATAAATATATATATTTTTTCCTAAAATGAGATTGAAGTCAACTGAGTGAACAGAAACGAACAGTTTCAATCAATAGTTTCCGCCCATTTGACTGCAATCAATCATGTGGTCAAAATTTCCCCACGTTGATAAATCGTTTTAGTTTTGACAAAGTTCAGAATGCTGGAACTATGCACTTGCTCCCAACACATTAAATAGGTCAAGTGTTTGGGCATGGTAAACAGATATTTCCGTTTGTGTCCTTTGCGAATGTCCCTTTTCTTCAATGGCCGCTTGTAGTCACCTGCGCATTAAGCGAAATTAGCGCTAATAAATCTCCGCGATTTATTTTACCTTTATCGCAGACATTAAGATAAATCTGATTAAGAAGAATATCATAAATCCCAATATAGCCCAAGAACGGACGGAATGAACACGGAGGTGGAGCACCAAGGCCAGCTCCACGCCCACACCATCGCCCACGCCCTCGGACAGGGCCGCGGTCTTGTCGCATGCCTAATTGCGTTTTGCGCCCCGCCTTTGGCACCGGCAGCCATACCCCCGCTATCCCCGTTAACTAGTTGGGCGGACTAATCCTTTCGCGTTTTAAAAAGGTTGGATTCCACCCACAGCCGAATACAAGCACGCAGCCGAACCTGAACCCCGCCGGCGACCTACAGCTAGAATACAAACGCTGAGACTCATCTGCAGCTCGTCTGCGTGCGTAGCGAAGCTGCAATCTCAACGTGATAAATTATGGCTATTTGAATTCCTTTCGCTGGCATCGCCTTCTGTATTATTATTGTTGTTGCTGGCATTTGTGTTTGTGATAGGGTCGGGCCCGGCGAGGCCCTGCACGAGCTGGCTGCCTGGAAATGAAGAGCATGAGTTATGAACCCGGACAGCGCTGCGTTGCGTATACGCCGTGTTCGCCAAACACATAATTGCCGCTAAGATTTACGTTAGCCCTTTAAATTTATGTTACAAATTGCGCCAACTTTATGTTTATTACGTGCAGAATAATAGGCTTTTGTTGCTGCCAACTACCAACTGCCAACAGCCAACAGGCAAGCGTTACGCCTCAATGCCAGCCCATCCACCTGTGCACCGCCCCCAAGTACGCTAGGCGTATCCCATGAATGGGCTGCACCCGTTCGTGCTCAACCCCAAGCACTTGCCATCATAAAAGAGGTATTATCTTCGCGCATAATTGTATAAATAATGCACTTTTTAGCGTTGACTTCATTCAGCTCAATTTATACATATACATATACCCATATATTTGTCTATGTGTATATAGTAAATATTATAATATTTTTTATGAATGCAGAGCGAGTCGAAGGCGGCATATTGTGCTGCTTATTAATGGCGCTGATAACACCAAAATGTACTTAGCCCAGACAATTCGAGGCAATTAAAGTGCCATAAACGAGGACGATTGCACGACATTGCCGTTAGCTAGTGAATGGGCTAATTTATGGATGGACTGCTCTTCTCCTCTCATCCTGTCTTTCCTGCTGCCTGATTCCACATAAAACTCATCTCGTATTCAAACCTATGCATATGACCGAGGAACGGCATGGATTCAGAAAGAGACACATATAGAGAGATAGACGAAAAGTGAGAGAAAGAGTGAGAGAGAGAGAGAGAACGAGAGAGAGAGAGAGTGAGAGCGTGGGAGGGGGAAACGAGTCAATAACAAGTAATTATCAATCAATGATTGAATGTTTGCTTTTCACTTTTTTATTGCTATTTAAATATCATGCAAATTTAGTTGGAAATGCAACTGTAATTAGTGCTGATTATGGCTGTACAGTTATATCACAATTAAGAGCTTTAGCCGTTTATTCAATCTTTTTTTTATGAATACTAATTATACAAAGAAGCCATATTGATATACTTTCTCAATGCTTTTGATATTTTTATTATCATATTCACTGAAGTCTACAGCTGTGTCATCAACGAGGAATAATAATAAATGTATTTAAGAAATATTTACCATTCATTAAAAAGAAATTGATAGCTTTATAGATGAGTGTATCCATTATTTCTCGATTCAATATTTGCAGTCCCTGGTAGTTAATATATTTTGAGTATTTAAAAATTGTAGAGATTCTCATTTCTTTACTTGACTTTTTTATTTCGAAAAAAAGTGAAGCGATGCACTCTCCCAGTAAATTTTGCATATGTGTTATATAACCAACATTTGTTCAGGATAAAAAATACCAAATCGGGTTCTTTATTTTATAGAAATACATGGCAAATATGAGGAGCATTCATTTGATATAATGCTACGAGTTACATAATCATAGGCGTACATACATGTCTATGTCCTGGGTACACAGCCCTTTAATGGATGTGTATTTTTTGTACTCGCCTCTGTATGTCCCACATATATTTTGGGACAGAAAAACAAACATTTGGGGGAAGTGAAAATATGTGGGACTAGGATTTCGTTTACTAAGACTTTTCCTGCCTTTGGCGACTGTCACGTACATGGACCGAGCCAGAAACAACAATGTGGCTAACAAAAAATGTAAACAACGGCAAGAACACATGCACAGAGCATTGCGGATCACTGAAACCGTTTTCAGCCAAAAGCCAAAGCCAAGAAGGAAAAGCGTGCAGTGAACCTTTGTTGATTACATTTCGTAATTAAGGAGATTTTAATATGCCACAGAACGACATAAAACTAATGCATAATTTTACAACACATTTGAGTAGGCACGCACTCACTCATCAGGGGTCCTGAGTGTCTCTCCTGTGAGTGTGTGTGTGTGTGTGTGAGCGAGTGGAGGGCTGCAGCATGTGTATTGTCAGCCATTTCGTTGCCGAAAAGTAACCTTTGATGTAGGTGGGTTAGAGCAAGGCTTCCGCTGCTGCCACTGCTGCCGCTGCTATTGGGTAAGGCCTATGTAAACAAAACTCAGAAATCCGCTGACTGCTCCGAGTTTGTATACCGGCCCCTACTTGTCGTTTTTTATGGCATATTGTAAAGTATCTTGTTAACATATTTGAGGCATTAACTGAGAAAACTACACAATACAGCAGCGCACACGTGCAGATGCGGTTTGAGGTCGCGAGCTCGGAGCTTTCCTTTCGCTTGCGTGTCTGCCAACACCAGTCGAGGGGAAAAGGGGCTAAAGTACAAATTAATTAGTTGGCCAAGATTCAGAGAGCACAACGGAACATCAGATGCGACGGCTGCTGCGCTACAGACAAACATAATACATACATACTTTTGTATATATATAAAATACACACATACATATATATGTGTGTGTGTATGTACATATATTCCACTTCTCCGCGTGCAGTTTGCGCACTCGGCCAATTTGAAATTGCTCAAATGGGGTAACAAAGGCGCCCAGTCGCATGAAGCAAAGTTAAACCAACAAGCGAACTTCCTTCTAACTAATTAGCCGGCAAGTGAGCTATGCGGCAAGGGGCGTGCCAGCGCCGGGGCCAGGATGTCAACAGCAGGCAGCCAAGCAGGCCAACAGGCAGGCTGGCAGGCAGCATCTGCATTTCCGTGGAGTAGTCGCAGCATATTACAAATCATTTAATTTACATAAATTTAGCATTAACATTCAAGTCCACTAAGGGATCCCTTTAATTGGCATAACGTGCTGGCCGTTTGTTTATTTACTTCTCCTGAGCACAATTTAGCTATTGCCCGCCCCTTCTCCAGCATCCGCTAGTTCGCATTTTGTGAGATACATGTGTAGGTCGACAGCCGACGGCACTTGATGCACTGCCTGAAATAGTCGTGCTGCAGAATGCACTATGCAGCCCTATGAGCACAAATAGCTCCCGAGTTTCATAGTCAGGAAGTTCGGCAAAAGTTAACATTATGTTTTTCTTTTGTTTTATACAAAGTTTGCTCGCCTTCATTTGCGCAATGCTAATTGTATTAATTTTGTTAATATTACCTTTAAGCCTTTTCATTCAGCACTCATTGAGAGGGTTTCGCCTGCTCCGTTTGGCGGCTCCAGCTTGTAAAGTCGAGTGCTCCTCGAGTTTCAGGGAGAGCGCATCCAACACTTCCAAATTATGGGCAAACACCAACACACCCTAATGGAGCGAGGCAGAACTTAAGAGGCCACGTAGCGCCGCGTAGCTTCAAACAGGCGCTCGCCTGTTAAATTATTCCAAGAGCTGCACTCAGAACTTTGAAGCCTTCAGGCGCGCTCCAGAATAAACTTTAGCGAGACTTGGCACTGGCCAAGGAACTAGCTAAGCTCTATTGGTTTGCAACTAGTTATTAACTCCAGCAATTACAATTTTTCATTTATACATATTTATAGCTGCGACGACTGGAAAAACCAAATACAAATATTGACAGATAATTTCAGAATTAAGTAGAGACTTGGCCACCCCAATGAAACATGGTTGACTGAATCTCAATTTCGTTGCATGTGCTCATCAGCAAAGCAGGCTGGAAAATCAAGAGAGCAAGCACTCTGAAAATGATATAGAGCAATATTTATTGAGTAGCTCGCGAGCCACAAAGTTTGCTACGGCATATTTAAAGAGCTCATGCAAGAAATTTTAATTAGTTGCGGAAGTGTAGCTAAGTTGTGCAATCGGGCCAAGTTCAGTTATCTTATTGCAAAGCCTCACCGAGAATGCGAAGAGAAGGTCTCTACGTGCTGCTGCTGGCGATTGGAGGTCTGGCTCTAACACTGACAAGCGTTGCCGGACTGGATAATGGCCTGGCCAGAACGCCGCCAATGGGCTGGATGCCGTTCGAGAGGTTCCGCTGTGTGACTGACTGCGTAAAGTTCCCCAGGGATTGCATCAGGTGAAAATGCCAAGCTGCTGGATAAACCTGTCATTTTTATGTCTTGTATTTTTTTTTTTTTTTTTTTTTTTTTGGCATGCTCTTCGTGTATAGTGAGCGGCTCTTTATGCGTACGGCTGACCTTCTGGTATCGGAGGGGTATGCGGCGGCTGGCTATAAATATTTAATAATCGATGATTGTTGGATGGAAAAGGAGCGCAACGCAATCACAGCCGAGCTGATGGCCGACCGAGAACGATTCCCCAGTGGCATGAACCACCTATCAGCATACGTAAGTCAATTATTAATAACAACATGATTTTCTATTCCCTCCCCTGCTTGTCAGATACACAACAAAAGTTTGAAGTTTGGCCTGTATCACGATATCGGAAAGAGAACTTGTATGCATTTAGGTCCCGGGGCGCACGGGCACTATTCAATTGATGCCAAAACCTTTGCCAATTGGAGCGTGGACTATGTCAAGTTGGACGGCTGCTATGTCAACGGTATTGACCTTAACACGGCCTATCCGGCCTTTGGCCAGGCATTGAATAAGACCGGTCGACCCATGGTCTACTCCTGTAGCTGGCCATACTACCAAAATCACGTTCGTTGCCTCCAACTTTTTACAAAGAATTTTTTTTATAGGTAGAATAATTTATATTTGTAGCCCAACTTTGAATTGATAAAAAAACATTGTAACTTGTGGCGCTTCGCTGATGATATTAGAGACTCCACCGAATCCATTGCTAAAATCATATTCAACTACTTCAAGAGGCAGGATAATTTGACCAAACATGCCGCTCCTGGCAGTTGGAATGACCCAGATATGGTGGGTAGTATACCATGCATATATATATGTTCTATGTATATAAAAAATTCAATTTGATATTCCATTAGCTAGTGCTGGGAAACTATCACCTCAGCTATGATGCGAGTCGGTTGCAATTGGCCATGTGGGCGGTGCTCGCAGCTCCGCTCATCATGTCGAATGACTTGCAGTCAGTTCGACCTGAAATCAGGGCATTACTGCAAAATCGGTTTGTATTCTTTTAATGAAAACATTTCAATTATCGAGTACATTTAAAACCACATTCCGCAGCGATATAATCGAGGTCGATCAGGATCCACTCGGCATACCTGGCCACTGCGTACTGATGTCTGGCAATATACAGGTATTTTGATTTTCAGATTTATATGCAATTGGCTTATTTGAAATAGCTGGCATAATTAGGTCTGGCTGCGCCCCGTCATGCCGACCAACAACATTGGAGCACGTTCATTTGCTGTGGTTTTTGCCAACATTGGGGACTACCATGAATGCCCCCTGTGCCCACAAACATTTCGAATTATTTTACAAAATTTGGGGCTCAAGAACCAAATGGGCTATACAGCTTATGTAAGTAGAGTCGACTTACCATTTATATTTATTTATTTATTATATTTTAATTTATTTATAATTGATTTTAAAATCTGTTTCAGGACTTGTTTGATAGGAAACGGAAGGTGGGGCTATTCAAGCCGAAAGACCAATTCACTATACGAATTAATCCTTCAGGAGTTGAGTTTTATAAATTTAAGCCCGAAGATATTTATTAAATGGCATCGATTTTTACAAGATATTTTATTTCTATTATAAAGTAATGTATAAATAATATTTGACTGACGTTTAAGCTCTTCAAAGTAAAAAAAAAAAAAAAAAAAAAAAAAAAAACAAATGGTAATTACTAATTTTTGATACAATTAATAATAATTTTGAATTAAATTTAATTAACAAAATAATTTATTGTGGATGTCTAACTATTTTATGGTACTTTCTGCGAATTTACAGTGCTGGACTAAGCCTTGTCCGGGCTAGACGGAAGAGAGCAAAAGCCGGCTTGAGCAACGAATCTATGGAAAAGGTAATTTTCTCTTTTTCCTTTCGGGAATTCGTGCTCTTAGCTGGCACCGACATTATGGCAGTTGGCAAAGAGGAAATTTAAGAGGGGGAATCATTTGCATTTTATAAGCTTCATGGGTGGCTTTTATTGCCAGAACTTGTAAACATGACATTTCCATATTTATCTCCATGAGGCGGCATTCCGTTTCAGCTTTCAGCTTTCGAATACATCTGCACGAAATCCTCACTGCTTTCACTTCTGTATCCTGCTCGAGGGTAACCTGGCACGTGTAGAAAAATGACTAGCAATACGAGGGACAACAGCTAAAAGGTGAACTGCAAGCTGAAAATGAGAAAAAATTTGCATAATTTGAGCAAGGTAGTTATATTTAATTTTGAATAATTTCCAGCTTTGTTGCAAATAATTTACATCGATTTATATTGTAAATCGGATACAAATATATATAAATATATATATATAAATTTATATGTTTACACACAAATACATGTAGAAATGTATTTCTCTTCCCTCTCTGTATGTGTGAGTGTGTCTGTTGGGTGTATCAGCGAACGTTTGTTTAATCCATAAATTTTGGTTGATGTTGTATTCGCCTCACAGGATGAGGATGCTCGAGGACACTCGCTGTGACCGATGAACGACAGGACCGTTAATGCCATCGAGGATGCTGTTAGCTTCTGTCATGTTCTTTTTATTACCCTGAAATCAATATTTATTAGAGGATAATGGCGCAGCTCACGGCAGACGCAGCTGTGCCACCGAGCCGCCTCCATTTCCATGTTTACCTGGGCGTGGTACCAAGGGCCCGGATATTGTGGGATGCTTAAATTGAATATCCTCACTTTAACAGTAAGGTTCATCCCTTGATCGAATTTGGTCAATACATTTTCGCAAATATTGAGCTTGACAGACAGCCAATAAATTGCTAAATATACTTGCATAAACACATCAGTGCGGGCAGTTCATCAAAAGTCTCGAAGTTGTGTGCTGAATTGTTACAGGCTGCTAAATTTATAGTCGAATCAGCATTATTGATTGCAAAATTGTTAGCTTTGATGATGCATAGCAATATATTTCTAAATTTGGGCAACTCTTTTGTGTACTCGCAGCTGAAGCAAACCCGAGTTGAGGTATTGAAGAGCTTAGCATTTTTCATACATTTCGTATATGTTTTGAAAGCGAAGCACAACATGCATACAATAGTAACACATACAGTTGCAGCTTACACACCTTCAGAAAATCTCTCCAATTACGTGAAATAATATTTCTAGTTCATGGCTTGTGGGAAGGCGGTTCATGCATTTTGAAAAAGCAATTAACTTTAAACAAGCGTGGCCAAGCACAGCATAATTAATTCATTGCCAAGCAACTAGAAGTGGCGCTCTAGTCGTGGCCAGTTTATAGCCAACTACACCTGCTCCACGACACACACACACACACACACACACACACACACACACAGAGCTGGTGGTGTTGAGCGGCAGACATACCAATTTAAGTAACTATTCCGTAAACGCGCCTTTCCCGGCTGTCGGCTGGCAGTTGCGTTGCTTTTCATACCTTGCATAATTTGCAAGTGGAACATTTCCTTTATAACTAAGCCAGCCTTATGGGAAAGTAGTTGGAAATGTCTATGCGCTGTGGCAATTAAAGGACCTTCGCTTTCGCTCTGCCTCATGGCCGGAACAAAGACTGGCTACGTTTAGATATTTACGCGTGTTCTCCATTAAGACAATATTAATCTACCTCGCAGCGCACTTCCCACGCCAAACCTGAAACAATGGAAATATTTAATGAATGCTCCTGGGCCAGGCACTCAACGTAGTTAAATAAAAGTTAATATCATATTGTTGAATTGTCTAAAATTTGGCTTAGTGTAGCTTAAGAAAGTTTCTATTTATAGTAATATATGGTATACTTTTGGTCAGTCAGGATAAACTTTAATGAGTCGCAGATGAAACTGTATTTAATTAATCATAGTCACTAGAGATTTTCTGCTTTCACTTTGGCTAATTTTGCTGTATTTTTCCGTAAAATGAACCAAATAAAAAACAAAGAGGATATAAACACATATGTCGCTACGACAACTAGTAAAGTGAAAACACAAATTTGCTGCATTGATAAGGCTAAAATGATATCCTAGCCAGGGAGTTGACGATGATTTGCTGCAGCAGCAATTTATCAAACATATAATTCAGACCATGAACCGTAGCCGGTTGAGTGTATGCGAGCAGTCGTAATTAAAGCAAACAACAGGGGAGAATAAATAAGCTCACACAAACACATATATATACCACTCACACACACATGCACCTCGAGTAGCTACCAGATGGCGAAGAGCAAAATCCAACAAAGCGCAATGCATGAGAGAGCGTCCATTGGCTCTGTCCTACAGCTCGGCAGCTAGACTTAGCAACGACTCGAACCGAAACAAGGGACGGCTTCATTGTCAGCATTTTTGGCCAGCATCCCGAAGCCAGGGCAGCAGAGCGGCAGAGCGGCAGGGCGCCAAAGCAACAAAAGCTAAAGCTGAACACACAACAGTGCGTATGAGCAATTAAATATAATAAAGCAAGGCAGATGACACTAACAAAAAACAGACGTAAGCCATCTACATTGGAAACTGTGTCGACGTATTGGCTCCCATATTTTGGCG